CGACGTGTTGGCCTGGGAATGAATCTGGACAAAACTAAGGTCATGTTCAACGACCATATCATTCCTGGACCGGTAATAGTCGAATCTGCGGTACTCGAAGTTGTGTCTGAATACACCTATCTAGGCCAAATTATTCAGCTGGGCAGGGCCAACTTTGAGAAGGAAGCTGATAGGCGCATACAGTTGGGCTGGGCTGCGTATGGAAAACTCCGTCACATCTTGAACTCAGCAATCCCGCAATGCTTAAAGACAAAAGTTTTCAACGCTTGTGTGCTGCCGGTCATGACATATGGCGCTGAAACGTGGACATTAACCGTAGGTTTGGTCCGTAAGCTCAAAGTCGCTCAGCGTGCTATGGAAAGGTGTATGCTCGGAGTTTCTTTGATGGATCGAGTCAGAAATGATGAAATTCGTCAAAGAACCAAAGTAACCGACATAGTCCTAAAGGTTAGTAAGCTGAAGTGGCAATGGGCCGGACATACGTGTCGCAGAACCGATGGCCGATGGAGCAGACGTGTTCTGGACTGGAGACCGCGTACCGGTAAACGCAGCGTTGGGCGTCCCCCTGCCCGTTGGACCGATGACTTGCGGCGATATGCTGGGAGAAATTGGATGCGGAAGGCGGAGGATCGTTCATTGTGGCGGACTATGGGAGAGGCCTACATCCAGCAGTGGAGAGACACAGGCTGATGATGATGATTTCAAAAAAAAAAAAACTGGAATTCCACCTTTAAGAACTTGAAGCTCAAAGCTCTTGTAGTCACTATATTAAAGTTTTAAATACGCGAAATAAGATACTATTCGACGCATTAGAGAACATGCCAATTCATCCGAGGTCTCCGTCGTAAGAACAACATAATCCTTGTTTCCAATAAACTACGAGAACTGAATTTAATGAAATACTAAATAAGGCGATCTTAATTATATTCCGATAATAATGTAGATACAGTTTTATGGTAAATTAGTCCATTTTGACACTTTCACAAAAACCACATTCATAAAAAAAAAAACTGAAAACAAAAACTCACAAAACGATCAAAAGATAATATCAAATGTTCCTTAGCTCTATTTATTTGCTTGGCGCAACTACATAATTGAGTTAACGGGTCAAAGCAGATCTTAAATAACAATGTTAATAGCTTATCGTATTGATTTTTAACCGATATTATTTTCTTAATAAGAAGAGTACAGCTTCCACATTTAAAAATGTATTTTTTATTGGAGTTTACTCCTTTAGAATCGATTTACATATATAGGCCCGGGGTATGAAAATTATGGGGACCAAAATCGTACTAGCATGTCACACGAAATGCGTTATGCGCCTGATTGGCTCCTGATTGCGTGATGCGTGCGCGCGCCAATCAAAATCGTACTAGCATGTCACACGAAATGCGTTATGCGCCTGATTNTAAGCAGGGATGAGAAGATAAATCAAAACATGATCTTCTTTGGAATTCATAAATTCTATCAGAAAGATTTAAAGACTTTTAATTATTTTAGATCTCCGTATGAACTAATTACGATATTATATTATAATTTTGTTCTAATCATGCGAGTACAGTTTTCATTAATGTTCTTTATAGTGTGTTTCTGATGTCCATGTGATTACTTTAAAATCAATTGCATTCGGTTCAGCCATATTTTCTATCAATGCAGTTAACATAACTAATGGTAAACGCGATTGAGATTTCTACTACATGTATCAATTGTGGCTCCGGCCACTATGGGCGTTGTTGTTATTTGTTTGCAAACCTGCGCTAATAAAAAAATAAAAGCTACTTATGTGAATATTTTACTGGTGGTAGGGCCTTTGTGAGTCCGCACGGGTAGATACCACCACCCTGCCTATTCCTGCCGTGAAGCAGTAATGCGTTTCGGTTTGAAGGGTGGGGCAGCCGTTGTAACTATACTGAGACCTTAGAACTTATATCTGAAGGGTGTGGCGCATTAACGTTGTAAATGTCTATGGGCTCCAGTAACCACTTAACACCAGGTGGGCTGTGAGCTCGTCCACCCATCTAAGAAATAAATAAAAAAAAATCTCAAAAAATCCATTCCCATCTGAGGTCTTCATAACCCCGGAAATTTTGAGGTCACAGTCAGTCACCAGATTTTTTATTCACATTAAAATAGTATCGTATCGTATCTCGTAATGGAAACAGTTATCTCGGCACTTCTTAGTTAATAACGCAGTTTACGACGGAGTGACGTTTGCTATTAGTTTTATACTCTACGTTTAAGGTTTATTAGTGGGTGTACAATTCGCCGGGTTATTTCACACGCGGCCGTGTCTAGACGCCGCGAATGTCTTCGTATTAACGAAACCCATCCCACGTTCTTAAACAAAAACAAAACATTTCAGACGAATCGACGATGCAATTTGGAGCCGAATGCTACCATAAAAAAACTCGAATTAGCCTGTAAATTCCGCCTTTATTATTTTAACAAGAGGGGTGATTGAAAAAAGACCTACCTGGCTCTCGTTTTACTAACAATCCGGTAATAAAAGAACTTTATACTCAGAGTGAACAATAACCAATTTTCTTATGAAAACAGCGTCCCGGATATAGGCCATTGACACAAATAAATCATTATTTTCCCCCTCTTTTAGTGGCTTAGAACGTTATAGTCGAATTTCAAAACGAATTTTCATTGTAATGTGCCACAAAAGAAAAATGAGCGAGTTTATTTGCGTTGCTTTGTTAAATATTAATTTGATACTTTTATCTTGAGTTTCTTGAGGGTACATTTGNACCCTTTTCACCGTGATTCTGCTTAACCCCATCTGAAGGGCCAACAGTTTCTGCTTACGTTTGGGATTTCTTTGAATTCGCGCCTTCACAGCTTTTATCACTGCTGGAGTCCTAACAGACCGAGGGCGACCACTTCTTGACCTGTCATCTACACTAGAGTCTTCATTGTATCGTTTGATGGTACGATAAACGAATCTTTTGGTTATATAAAAAATTTTCAGTATGTTAAAAATTTCAATTGGCGCGTAACCGCAACGATGCTACGCAATAACTGCAACACGGTCTTCTTTAAGCGTCCACTCCATATTTAAAAATGAATAAAATTCTAAAAGTATAACATTTTTATTTTCATGAACAATTCGAAATTCGAATTCAATAAACTTTTTTGTGGCCAGCATTCTAAAAGAAAAGTTTTTACTGTGTGACAATACTTATGACCTGACTAGTTATTATGAGCGGTGATCTTCTACTTCGATTTCTAACTAATAAAACCACCAATATACGCCACTATTAATAAAATAAAAATAAATAAATAATATAATAAAATAATAAATAAAATAAAATAAAATTATTAAAGAAATAATAATAAAATTAAATGAAAAATTGATAATTAAAACTAAATAATTTCTTCAAAAGTTGAATGTCGGCGTAACCTAAAACACAATGACACCCGATACTCGTATCGAGCGATATAATTGTGCTGCTCTTCAAATCGTGCTAACTGATACCAAATTTTCTAAGGAAATAATCAGTTAGCATGTGTTCACTAAGGACTTTCACGTGAAGAAATGACATCATTTAATAAAATCAAACTCGGATTTTTTAAAACTCAATTACAATGAAACGTGAGTACTAGTTAATAATTACAAAAATAGCAATTACACAAATAATTATGTAATAAGAGCAATCAATATTTTTCGGAATAATAAATAAGGTTTAGAACATTACCGAGGTTACAACGCCATATTACATTCAAATGATTTATTTTCTAAAATTGTTGAAATAATTTTTTTTGAAGTGAAACATCTTTAGAATCGTGATTTCAAACTCGACGAAACGAAAAAATAAGTCCATAGAGACACAAACACATAAATGTATAGGATTCAGCCGGCGAGAGAATGAGATAGAACACATTAGACGTTCTCGGTCTCGCCTTTTTTTTTTATTGCTTAGATGGGTGGACGAGCTCACAGCCCACCTGGTGTTGAGTGGTTACTGGAGCCCATAGACATCCACAACGTAAATGCGCCACCCACCTTGAGATATAAGTTCTAAGGTCTCTGGTATAGTTACAACGGCTGCCCCACCCTTCAAACTGAAACGCATTACTGCTTCACGGCAGAAATAGGCAGGGTGGTGGTACCTACCCGTGCGGACTCACAACAGGCCCTACTACCAGTAATTACGCAAATTATAATTTTGCGGGTTTCATTTTTATTACACGATGATATTCCTTTTTCGTGGAAGTCAATCGTGAACATTTTGTTGAGTACGTATTTCATTAGAAAAATTGGTACCCGCCTGAGGTTCACCGGTGCATCGCTCAATACGAATGCATCGGATGTCTTATCCCTTAGGCCACGACGACTTCAAAACATTGTTGTCTACTAAACATTATCCATATGAATGCTCCTGTGTAGTAGGATAGACAGCATATCTTATTTATAAGTTTCACTTCTACCGTGTGTGACTTGCACTCACACACACTTTTTATTTTTATTTTTTTTATTTAAACCAGACAGATAAAGAATATTACAATGAACACTTCTACAATTTAACAATAAAAGCTAGTCAGGTAGAACGGCACGCTCGGGAAAAATGGAAACTTGTTAAAGATGTAATTTCGCTCGGTAATGAAATCACGAAGCCAACATTGCCGGACCAAGTTCTGTTATCGCAGATATTATGAATCCAATTACTTGTTCTTGTTCGACAAGTTCAAGCACCAATGCTCTCACTTCGTTTCTTGTAGTGAAGCGAACTAGCGAACTGGATCATTGGAATCGAATGATCCAAAAAACAACACCATTATAACTTTTAGTAAAGATATTTCATTGATTTTGGAACGAAGTTCCTCATGGAACGATGCGGAGGGGTACCCTAACTGGGAAAAAACGTCCGTAACGTAAGATTTTTTCTACTTAGTTTATTATCTTAAAGCTATAATACTGAAATACTAGTACTGCAGTGCGCTGCAAATAGGAAGGCTGATTTACAGCGGGACCTGACTGTAAAAGTGCATTATCAGAGCTAAATTAGGAACAAATTAATTTAGATTCAGAATTAGATCACAATTTCGTAAAGTAAAAAACAATGAAACCTCAGTGCTACCGCGATCGACACGTATCTTCACTTCACAACAGTCTATGGATATTGTAACTGACTTAGAATTTTATAACCGGGCGCCTACTTCAAATCAACGCAACTGTCATGACTTCTTAGGAGGATTAATTTAGTTAACATATTAACGATACTACCATTGCGTGGAAGCCCAATATTGAACATGATGACATTATAATAATGACAGAAACTATAGGATATATTAATATATAGGACGAGACT